GTTGCAGGTTGAAGGTTGCAGAGGTTGCAGGTTGCAAGTTGCAGAGGTTGAAGGTTGAAGGTTGCAGAGGTTAAAGGTTGCAGGTTGTAGAGGTTGAAGGTTGCAGAGGTTAAAGGTTGAAGGTTGCAGAGGTTGAAGGTTGAAGGTTGCAGAGGTTAAAGGTTGAAGGTTGCAGAGGTTGAAGGTTGAAGGTTGCAGAGGTTAAAGGTTGAAGGTTGCAGAGGTTAAAGGTTGCAGGTTGCAGAGGTTGAAGGAGAGTAGAAGAGAGTGAGAGAGGAGCGGGAGACCCTGCCCTGAATGAAGAGAGTTAGGTTCTTTTATAGAGGGAGCTTGCTTCGGAGTTAAGAAAAGAATAAAGGAGCTAGAGGAAGAGGACAAAGATGAGAAGACTTAAAGAAGACGTAAAGTAGATTCGCCACAGGGGTAAGACATAAAAGACAAAATAAAAAAGAAGAAAAAGGATGCTTTTTGGCATCTTTGTACAGTGTAGTTTTGTCCATAGTGTATTATAGCTACAGTAGGGCATCTGGAACTGTGTCTTCTGTCGGTGACGTGGTCACTGTTGCTTGTCATTGTCGGTGACGTGGTCACTATTGTTTGTCGTATGTGTCGGTGCTTGGAATCTGGGAACAGTATTTTGGCGTTTATTGGTAATTGCTTTTGTCGTTTATGTGCCAGCTTTGATGGAGACGTTATGGTCTTTGGCTGAATTCTTCTGGATCATCTTCCTTTGGATCTGTTTCTTCTGGATCAGTCTCTTCTGGATCGGCCTGACTTAGCTGGAGATACCTATTGGTGTGGAGTGGAGACGACTGTACGGTTTCTTCAGCAGATGTTGGTTTTCTTCCAGCCTCAGCAAAAATTTCTTTCATTTGTTTATCTAATTCTTCTTTTGAGGCATTAGGATTGGTTTGCAACATATTTCGGAGGTAGGTTGGAAAGTCAAAAGAGGTGTTTGCAGTATTTGGGTTTTCCTGGTATTTAGGTGTTTTCGGAGGTATTCATTATGGTGTGGTCTTGGTGAGATCCATTTGAAAGATATCCCACCATTTAACAGAAATGGTTTTTCCCAAGCGGCGGATATAAGTATAGTCATTTGTGGTATTGGATGAGATGGTGTAATCCCATTTCATAATCCATGGGATTTGATATAAGGCCATGAAATAAAGGTGAGTATCAACCATATTATCATTATTATTGTATTGCACAAATTGTTCCTGCAGGTTTTTGAAAGCAGGAGGTAGAACCAAAGAAGTTGAGCCCCACACAAAGAACCAGTTTTGAAACCATGTGGGGAATCTTTCAAAAATAGGCAACCGGAACTGAAGATACCAGCTGTGTGTATTGTTTGGATTTTGATAGTAAAAGAATTTGTGCCATGCTTCTATATACTCGGCATATTTGAAATATTTGTATGAAAACTCTGGGTTGTGTAATTTCTTTCCCTGTGCGGGATTGCAACCCCACTCATCATAGGGAAGAAGTTTCTTTATCTGAACTTTAGAATAAGCAATTATTTTGGTATTTTGCTAGAAGTAATGGACAACAGAGATGGACCCTGTTTCCATGAGTATGGCTTCATAGTATTCTCTGGTCTTAACCCCATTGGTAGGGTTGAGGTGGTTTAGCAAGTATAAGGGTGCAAGTTTGGTTGGATCCATATGAACCTGATGTTCATCTATGGTGATATCCATTAAGAATGCTCTTTCTATGTATACAGATCTTGGGATATTTGATGTAGGAGCAGATTTTGATTGAGTTGGTGAATATGTAGGAGTAGAAACATGTGCTTCTGGATAAGTAATTTGATGTATTGGGGATTGTGAAGGTGAACGAATATTTAAAGGTGAAGGTTCTCCTTCATAAGGTACTATGTTTCTCATGGGTTGTTTATCCCTGCGAGAAGTGCCACGGGATCCCATGTTTTCAGATGAAGACAAAATATTATATATATATATCTATATATATATATATATATAAAGTGCAAAGCATCCATCTTAAAGATAAATGCAAGCAGGTGTTCTATCTAAAAAAATATAAAAACTAAGGGTGCAAATGTTTTCTTACTAGAATTATTATTTCTAGTTTTTAAAATTTATTTATTTATTTATATTCATGACCTTCATGTTAGAGATTACGTATCCTTAAAAATTAAGTC